CTTCATTTACTGCCTTTTTAAAATGTCTAAATTAAAACAAATAAATAAATTAGCTTCATTTCTGCCTTTTAAAAATGTCTAAATTAAAACAAATAAATAAATTAGCTTCATTTACTACCTTTATCAAACGAGATAATGAAAATGTCCATAATAAATGCCTAAAATTTTTCTTTCCTTTTTTCTCCCCAAAATAAAAATATGAATAAAATAGCTAATAAATTAAAATAATAATAATAATAATAAGTGAAATGATTGTTACGCATGCATATATACATATATATGATAAAATATCCTACTATTGATGCAGTTAATTTTTTTTTTTTTAGCATCATTGCATAAAAGAAATTTAAGCCTAACGATCAATCATGCATATAATATTCTCATAATATTTCAAAGAGCCCAAAAATTGTCAATTTACTTTCCAATATTTTCATCAATCTTTTCATTCATTCGCTATTGCTACGAAAAATTTTCAACCATTTATCATCAATATAAATTGCTTAAATTTAGAAAAAAAAAAAAGAAATTCCTCTAACTTTACTTCCTGCATATTTTCTCTTATTCTAACCATTTCATTTATTATCAATCATTCAGGTAAGTATGTATGCATATGTAAAATGTTGTGCCAATGAGGCCAAATGTGTAAATCGTTTGCTAAAGCTTTTATTGCATTGCAAAAGCTTTAATACACAGGAAATGATATTGGAAATGATATTATTAGTTAGTGGTAATATTGCAAATTTAGCGTAACTATTTCTATTTTATATCCAAAAATTTTGAATCATATTTGGTAAATAGATGTAATAAATTTTTTTACAATACAAATATTATTTGTTATTGTTTTTTTTAATAAACAACAATTGTGTATTCAACAAAAATTAAACTGCTAAATTTGAATTGAAATAATGAAATGATTACGATCAATTCTTGTTGCTATTCAAATAAAAATTGGACCGATAAATTTGAATATGAATTCAAATAATGAAATGATATGATCAATTCTTATTGTCACTCAAGGAAAAGTTAAATCGATAAATTTGAATA